TTCTCCGGTCCATTCGAATTTCCGATTTTGACCGAGCAAATCGTACAGTGGCGCAGCGATCGTGTTGAAATCCTTAACGAACCGGCTGTAGTATGCTGCTCGTCCAAGAAACTGCCGTAGAGACCGCTTTGAATTGGGAACAGCAGAATCCCTGATCTTTGCCAATTTATCGGGCAGTGGGTTAACTTCTCCCTGACCCACTTTATGCCCCAGCAGTGTCATCGAACTCCGAGCGAGCTGTCTTGGCTTCATTTATCCTCAGGCCAGCCTCCCGGATCCGCTCCAACACAGCCTTCAAGTGAACTACGTGCTCTGGTACCCATTTGCTGTACACAACGATATCGTCTCCATACACGGCAACATTCTGGAGTCCCTTGGTTACACGAAGCATCAAGCACCGGAATGTGAATGGTGCCCAGGACAAACCAAACGGCATTCGCCTAAATTGATATTGGATGTCCCAAACCGTCCCAAGCCGTTTTCTCCCGGTCCTCCTCCTTGATAGGTAGTTGCCAGTATCCGGAACGCAAGTCGAGCACAGTGAAGTATCGGGAGTGCTGGAGAGAATCGAAAATCCCTGCAAGGCACAGCTACAACCCGATTTACAGTCAGTTCATTCAAGCACCGGAAATCCAAGCAAAACCTGTATTTTCCGTTTGCCTTTCTTACAAGCACAACTGGGGAGTCGTACGCACTATTGGCTCCTTCGATCATGCCATTCTGAACTGCCATTATGATCGATGTAATCCCCGCCGAGGAGAAACCCAGTCTGATTCTCCGCGTAATGGATTAACCTGCACCACAGAGTTAAAAGTTACGGTTGCTAGACTGATGCTCCGGTGGTTTCCTCACGGTGCTCGTTCACCCTTTTTCTAATAGAAGAATCACCGTCGAGCTCCCTTATTCCATTAGTATTGTCTTTTAGACATTCTGGAGTGAAACTGCAAGCTAGCCCGGTGGAATGCACCATCTTTGAAAAGTACAATGTGGAGGCGTACCAAGAGTAGGTTGGTTACAACTGCTACAGCTCTGATCATTGAAAAATGGGGAAACGAGGATCTAGCCAAATACTGGAGACGTTGGATGCAACTAGCGAATTGATGCTGGTTTGTTCCAGGTGTCGGAGGAAATGAGAAACTGGGCAGCTACGATCTGAAGGCACCAGGGCCGCAATGACTGGCAGTTTTTCAGGCATCAGAGAGCGGCTGATCATGACTACATCCAGTGTTCCTCGAGATGTACTTCTGGTGGATGGTTTCAAAAGCTGTGATCGTAACTTCTTCCACCTTTTTCCAATTACTACCCAATTTATAACTATCATCTTTGTCCAGTTAGGTTCTGGGAGCTTTTCAGTCAATTGAGCAAAATGTGCAGGTGATGAGATGAAAATCACTGCGGCGACTGGTTTGTTCCAGAGTAAAAGCGAATTGAGACGCGTTTCCGTGAAACGCTGTGAGCAGTATCAAGCTGTGTGCTCCAAAATGGATGACAATCTTGTGTCGAATCTCCTCCAAATAAGTGAAGGGCTAGATTACAGTTGGTGGTCTCCAGGTAACTCGCTATGAGCACTTGTGGTTGGAAGCTAATGCTGACTAGAAACAAATTAAGTACAACACGGAACTGAAGATTTGGCTCTCCATTCTCTGTGCGATAAGCGTCAATGCCAAATCGACGGCCAGGAAATTCTTCTTAGGGACTAACTTGGGCATTCACAACACATGCCAGAGTCATGATACTTAAACTTCTTGTACATCAGATCAATTGCGACAAATTTCGATAGAAACGGTTCTTCTAAGACTAGAAGTTAACGTCTGCCGGAGCCTGGGCTGACAACAAATTAACACCCGTGTTGAAGTACAATAACGTTGTTACTATTTACTGTTTACTATTTACTGGAATACAGGCCGTTAAAGCGCTCAGTAGAATTATCGCCCTAGATACTACTAGTCAGTGCATCAAGATAACCAGGAAACCAAGAGTAAAGGGCGAACAAACTGGATTCGTCCTGAGTAATTTGAGGTGCATGACCGAACTGGAGAACAAGAGATGTCTGTTGTTGGAAGTGACACGCAGCTCAGAGGTTAAAAGCCACAACGTATAACGGACCACTTGAAACTAAAGGGGGTTTATTTTAGTTTATTTAGTTTATTTTAGGATTTAGATACAGGGTGACCGTTAGGTGACTGAGAGCAAAATAAACCAGAAACCCTTAGCTGAGCGTGTGCGGGGAAGGGTCGATGAATAATGAGTTGTAAGAGACTGATAGCTCCATGTTGTTCGTTAAGCTACCGCACCTTTCAGCCTTGGACTTGGAAGTCCAACCCGCAAGGCAGTGGGAGGATGTAAGAATCCTGTCCTAGCCTGACTCAAGAGGACCAGCTGCAATACAGGGGTTGTTGAGATTTTATAGAGACCTCTCCTGAAGCCAATGACTCAGTCGTCCGACTCACCCGGCTACAGGGACTGCCCTCGCTCGAGGGAGCAGGTAGTAAGGTGCAGAGGCCTGACTCTTGGTACTATTACGCACAGCAGCTGCGCTTAAACCCATATCAGGCTCATAGCAAGATTTGGATAATTGGCCGGCGGTTACAGTCAAACTTCAGCGGACTGGGATCTGCGGTTCTTGGGGCCGACACTTACTAACATGTCGTTCCTTGGGGGAACGCAGCACGACTGCTTCCAAAAGTATGAACATACGGTTGCAAGCGGATGTAACTATTTCGATGAATCCACTCGAAATAGACTGAATCAGTTGTACATGTCTGTCTAAAAGCGACAATATACAATCACTCCTGAACCGCAGGTGGAAGGCCCGATAGGATCTGCCAAATAAGAGGCTATGCCTTTCGCGCCAACTCAACCGGTACTCCAGTAAACAGGTGAGATAACGTGAAGTAAGCTTAACTCACCTGGGAATATGGATTCAGAAAGTAAATTACAAGGTACGTATCACGAGTAGTAACCCAAGACGAACTATCAAGAGAGGAGGTGAGAGGACCTTGACCATTACGCGGGTTCGTTGAAGAATGGCCCAGTATTTTTCCGGTCCTTGGTGCGCTTGAACGGATTTTTGACTTTAGGTCATTTTCTTTGTCAAAATCTTTCTTGAGGACTGTGTTTGACCGATGACTGGCAGAAGTCGGGAAAAGATCGGATGCCCCTACCTGCAGAGACCCTGAGCTTCGAACGGAGGTGGGTACCGTGATCCCACGTTCCTCGAAATGGGTTATTGCAGCAGAGAACGCCGCTCTAACGTATGACTGTAAGTAGTCGACGAAAGCTTCTGGTGAATCACAATGGCCTTGAAGTTGTTGAACGAGAGACTGGAAGAGATCCGGTGGCATTTCACTGCGGTCGTTCGTAATTTGCTTAGCTGTAACGAAAAACAGTGAAGATCGGATAGTATTTCAAAGATACTACAAACGAAGGTACATTGTGGACAGCAAAAAACAGTTCAGAAGCGCGAAGAGAAGACACACTTCTTATACACAGTTGGTGGAGATCAGAGGTCAGTACCTTTGTTCTGCTTTCGGCTTTTCCGAAAAAGAAAGGATAACCCGATTACCTAAGGCCATGTGGTTGGTTTACACAATATCCTTGAAAAGTCAAGGATAAGCTCTGTTCACCAGTTTGGTGCAAGGCCTCTCCCAAATGCAGATCAGCGTTCCTCGAGTGAGGGTGGGTTGTTGTCCCCTCGGGGACAATAGAAGGCTAGAGGTGGCCAAAGTGGTTAAAGCGAGAATTTACTGACTGGAAGATTCGCGGTTCGAATCCAACCTCGCCACTCGACTTCCCCTGTCTAGGCTTGGGCAACCTGGCAGTATCCCAGCCCTCGTGCTTCTTTCGGGTGGCATGGCAGCTAGGTACCGAAAGGGTGCTACAACTGAACGCTTTCTTTCTTTCTTTCTGGAGGTGAAGTGCCATTGTAATCGACTTGCATAGCAAAGCGTTATTATGGTTGAATGAGCCATGTGCACACCACCGAGATAGTTGTTGTCACATCACGATGCAGAGTACTGTCCACACTCGTCTTCGCATTTTGTAACGGATCAGTGAAAGGTAGTTCCTACCAACAAACCGAGATGTTCTAAGCCTATTTTGGGTCAGCAGATTTGTGGTATTGTCAAGACACCGTTTGATAATAAACCTTTTATTATGTGCTACCACGTCCCCCGTGGTCGGTGTCGGGATCTGCTTACGAAGCTTGCTCGCCCAGAGTACATGTGATATCACGAATGGTGTGGAAATCAGTGGACAGCATTTGACCAGGTTTATGATGCGTCGACAAAGCAATATGTACACTGTTCACTTTGCTATTCGAACATTCCAATACATCTGCCAGTGGATCCTTACTTGACGGTTTTCTACCCACCAGTGCGTAAGCTCTTCCTTATAACAGAGAAGAGGATATTAGACATTTACTAGGGTTGGTTTTCTCTTCGAAGGGATGGCAGTCTGACTAGGGGCACTGTCGCGTATAATTCACGGGTAGGTTATTATTTGTAGAGAGGGGTTCCTAAAGATAAACTCTTCTGGTCTTACCGTTTGTGACGAATGGAAAACCGATAAACTGGAAAGTTTGAGAATCACTACTATCGACTTCCGCAGGTCGTACCAGCCCCACCTTTTACCTCACTCTCCAATAACGATAATTAGTGCACTTGTACATACTAACGGTAAACCAGCTGTATCCATCTTTGTGCAACTCTTCCAGGCAACAATTCTCCGAGTTTGACAGAGGCAATGGATTCGCGGCACGAGCAGAACCAGCGTACCAGTACGGAACTCTCATTACAATGTAATGAACAGCAACCCAGTGACCACCATAACGTAGTCGGTCATGTTTAAGTTCCCAAAAAGATGCAGTGGATTTTCACCGACGAGCAAGTGATTATTCTGGGTCATAACCTGAATCAGAAATCCAATTTAGGTTTTACGCATATGTCAAACTGTTGATGGGCGCTTACCGAAGTTGCAATGTGTGTACCAAAACTTCAATGGAGAATACAGTGAGTTCATTAAAACCCATTTGAAATTGGGGCAGCTACTCAACGAGATCACAAATGTCCTCTGAAAAGCCTATCATTGGACAGGAGGGTAGCTCCACCTGAAACTAGGAAAGGTGTTGTATCTGTTTGAAACCTATGAAAGCGCAGAGCACACAGCTGGAAGTACATTGTTATTCAAAGAAACACCTAAAAACTCATCCTCGCATCACGTACGTAATCTTCCGTCCTCCAACCACTACCTCAGCCACTAGACACCGGTAATAACTTCTGATAAAGCTGACCTTGGGAGGACAAAGGAAACTAAACATGCTAAGAAAAACCTATTGCTCCGGAGCAAGTGAAGGTTAGACAGGTGTCATATGTATATAATATGGTAAACTAGTTCGGACATAACTGACAGAGGTATTCATGAGAACGATTTATGAGCAGTTTACTGCAAACTGGAAGATTGGTTTACGACCAAAAGAATCGCTAGGGTGAATAGCCACTCTCCCCTGAACAGCCTTTATTCAGTGAACTGTCGCAGATTACCATTGGAAGATGTAACTTGGAAATCGAGATTTTGAGGTCGGGCTAGGTTAACAAACTTCGCCTCTATCGGACTGGTGGGATGATGAAACCATAATATGCGCACCATCATTTTCAAAGTGAACTGGTAAGGGGTTCCTCTCTAAAAAAAAACCCAAAAAGTGGTCGGTTTTGGTTGGCTACTTGATCACTTTCACGGTAAACGGCTCTTTAAAAAGATACTACTACGACTGACGACGTGCTTGTCAAAATTGCAAACGTTTCACCGATAATAGAAGAATGGGCGACCATAGCATGGACAATCTATGAAAGCAACCAAACTAGTTCTACACACTGATGACAATGTTTAGGCAGTCCTTCCGGTGGCTTTCACAAGAAACCGAACGCATAGTATGGCCACGTGTCTATTCCGGCTGGAAGGTAAATAAACCTGAATTGTCAAGATCTTCACTACCGACACCTAAGATGAATACCATTGCGAGCGAAACTGGCCGCGGGTTGAGTCACTGTTCTCATCTTGTTAAATATCGCTAAAACTGTCACCAGCGAGCCGGGGTTGAATTGTTGCGGACCAAAGGCGAACACTGGCACTCAACAATCGAGACGAACTGCACCATCTACTGGACGACCAACAACCAGAGTCCATTGATGCCAGGTCTGTATAGTTGGTCAGCAACCAAACTAGTTCTACACACTGATGACAATGTTTAGGCAGTCCTTCCGGTGGCTTTCACAAGAAACCGAACGCATAGTATGGCCACGTGTCTATTCCGGCTGGAAGGTAAATAAACCTGAATTGTCAAGATCTTCACTACCGACACCTAAGATGAATACCATTGCGAGCGAAACTGGCCGCGGGTTGAGTCACTGTTCTCATCTTGTTAAATATCGCTAAAACTGTCACCAGCGAGCCGGGGTTGAATTGTTGCGGACCAAAGGCGAACACTGGCACTCAACAATCGAGACGAACTGCACCATCTACTGGACGACCAACAACCAGAGTCCATTGATGCCAGGTCTGTATAGTTGGTCAGACGAAAAGTCCCGGCTAAAATGGGCGCTTCAGGTGTTGTAATGGCATCCTACGAAATCGCCTGTCAATGAGATAGGTCGGATGAGTAATGAGTTAAACGACAAATTAAGTAGAAGTTGTACAAAAATCACCTACATGGAGTTGGGTCCACCGGAATGAATGCCGTTTCCGGACGGTTGAGTTCAGGTTGGTGATAAGGGAGGTGATTCCCCAAGCGACAGTTTTCGTATATATGGGACAGTTCAGTGAGAAATTGAGATAAAGAGTGTTCGATGAGCCAATTTTCCTTTGAGCGCTGAACAGCACCGGTCTCATTCATACGCTTCCTTGTCGAATTCAGCATGCGTCCCATATCGCTGTGACCCAAAATTGGCATTGGAGGACTCAGGTATAGGTTACGGTCAGGTCTTTGTCCAAAATGCTCATTTGGAAGGATCACCGCATAAGCGATGTTTTTCGGTTGTGAAAGAGGGGAAAGCGAGAGTCGGTCCTAAAAAATAACATATGCATATCGTCCAAGTTTGACTAGGAGACTTTTGTGCAGAAAACGGATGATGCTGAATCGAGTTCCATAGGTTGAGTTCATTTGATCAAGACATCGCCACAAGCCCACCACCATAGGAAACTGAGTTCGTGCAAAGCAAGGCTAATGATGACCAACAAATAACCGCAGAACCACAGCGCTGCTGTCGGTTTTATTGCACTCTATTAGACACACTCCAAATGAGGTTTAGATAGAACGTTATCGAAAGATAGTATAATCCGCGCGAAAATGAACAGGCGTGCTTTGCTGACCGGTGCAGACCGCCAAACCGAAGTCATGGAGTTTTTAGTTGATCGCAGTAGTGAATACCTGTTAGAAAACATTCCGTGCATAGTATATTACAACTGACATATTCGAACTGTAGGACAGGTGTGACAGGCGTACGGTTAAACCACCACTAGAATCCAAACTTTTAAGAGTTCCGTTTCGACATGTGATTTTTAATGGGGGGAATCACTAGCTCCCTGATAAAACTAGTGTCAGTTCGATCGGATTTATCTCGATGTTTCCGACATACCGACGGCTTGCGGCCTCTTCATTTAACTAATAAAGCGTGTGTGTAAATTATGCACTTATTTTTATATATAGGGGAGAAAATAAGCGATTATACTTCTCGTGATATTACAGTAAACAGATGGTGAGTAAAATACAATGTGGGGACCAGCAGAACGTAAATGAATCACAAAAATTAACCAAAGAACTCGGAGACAACCAGCAAACTGGTTTAGCATTTCATGTTGCCGTGTAAATGACTGACGGCTGATAGTGACCCCAGGTGCGCCCTGATGCCTATTCAAGCAAATAAAAAGAATACCCAACAATTTACCTAAACAAACATTAAGATGTTTTACCTAAGACCAGATCCAGAAATAATTCAGATTCGAGGAACAGAAGCCGGCAGATTATTAACCGAAGACGAATAATTCGGAGGTACTCATTCCAAGAAAACTAAACAAGTTTGTCCAAGCTATCTGACTCGACTAAATGAACAATGGATATCGTCGAGATCAGCAAATCTTATTGCTGACAGAAAGACCATATCAGCAACTAGCGACGGTGATAGGCGCACGCACATCCCTCAAACGTCGGATAATCAGGAGCTTGAAGAATGACAGGATGTTGGTGGATTTCGAAGGCCCAGGAGATGGAGAAGGCTTTCGGTGGGAGGAACGGCTGATCCGATCAACGGGTCGAAAGAAAGGTGTGAGTGAAACAATATGCGAAAAAGACGGAGCAGCAATTCACTCCCTTAATCAGTTCAGCTAGTCTCTTTCAACACAGCCGTCGCATCTAAGATGCTCTCTGACATTATTTCGCGCAGGTTGATTGATTATCTGGGGAGAGATATTCGCGAGAATCAACCTGGGTTCTGCCCCGGCTGAGGATACATCGACCATATCTTTACCATCAGACAAATTGTTGAATAGCGTCACTCATTCGGATGTCCCATGTTCGTCGTTTTCCTTGATCTGAAAGCTGCTTTTGACGATGTCGATCGCATCTGCACAGCGCAAATTGATGCTACAAGACTGGGTGAGATCAAACCCAAATCCCATGCTTGCAGGTGGGCCAATCGACGTGGTAGATGTTTGCATAACTTGCTCTATAACTTGAAGTGGAATTCTCGAATCGGGAAGGTCGGGGCAGCTTTTGCCAACCTCCGACACGTACGGCGCCGATGTGATGTTAGTTCGTCTGTCAAGGACAGAGTTTACACCACGGCATTACGATCCATACTCCTTGTGGATCAGATACGTGACTTATACGCGCAGAGGACATACGGAAAAAAGTCGGTAGTTTATCATTGGTGTCTCCGAAGCATTGAGCACGTTTGATGGGAATATCGCATAAGCAATGCTCAGGTACGCCAGATGGCCCTAGGAAGAGGGGACTCTTCCACGATGGATTACTCACAGTACATAGGTTACGCATGCCAGAAGACCGTCTGCCTCTCAGTGCTTTTTTCACCCAGCCATGTACTGCGTGAAAACGATCGAGAGTTGGGCAGTGTATATATAACCCGGTGATGAAGCACGAAACTGCTAACCAGTAGACTCAGTCGGGCCGAAAACCACCGCCATTGGATGGTGACCCCTGGACTCAACCCACCAATGGTATATGACATTGGCAGAAATGACCCAACCACGCAATCAGCGTTACGCCTGTATAAAATCTATCGCTTTCAATACGGCAATTTTCAGTTTCTATCCAGACTGTCTGAGTGAATGTCTGGAGGTGCAGGCACCTCGGAATGATCGTGGTAAGCTAGCAATAAGCCCCTTCCCCGTCCACCTTTATTATTTTTTTTACAATTAAGCTTTCAAATAAATCATGGTTGTACGGTAGTGAAGCATCGGTGTTGAACACTGATGTCATGCTGTCGATGATGATAAAGATGACGATGATGACGAAGTCACAACTTTCAACGTGATCAATGAAGCGCTGACAAACGCAATATTCATGTCCGCAATTCTAAAGGTTGTCGAACCACGGAAACGAAACTTCAGAAACGAGATTATATTCAACACCAGCACGCTAACAATTGTGAAAAAAGCCAAAGTACTTTCGACAGTACTGTATACCAACGGGGCGAGATGCTGCATCTCGACTTCCCCTGTCTAGGCTTGGGCAACTTGGCAGCATTCCAGCCCCCGCAAGGATGTTAAAGCTGAATGATTATCCTTTCTGTACGAATACATTTTGAACCAATAGGACCTAGAGCTAGAAAACTTCAACCTCCTATCTGCCACAGTATGCCGATGTGAAACCCGTGCTGCAATCTCTAACAGTTAAACTTGATGGCCTACCTTGTAAACGAGAGCGGAATTTATTGGCGTCAAAGCGGTAGCATTGTGCATGTGGAACAAGTTGACCCCATTTATGCTGAACCGTTCTATTTTGTACAAGTCTAGACTGTATGGAAATCTGTAACATACGCTGAATATCAACTCATCGGTAATAGTGGATTGAAGTGTTTGACTGAAGACAGTACAACAAACGTTCGTCATGTGAAACTCAATTTAGGATTAATTGCATCGCAACAACCACATCCATAACTGCAACAGTCCTTCGATATGTTAGCAAAACGCGGGACAGGTAGAGTAACGGGACTTATCACCCCAAATTACGGATGCGACCTTATCAGGTCAAAGGACTACCTAGTGCAAATGTGCTACGAAAATCTCTGACAATGCACTGCGGTCGAGAGACTGAAAAAATTGGAACAGTGGCTACACACATCTTTACCAATTGAGGAACCCACATAAAAAGCATGCTAGACTGATCCAAGTAGACCGAAACTGGAGGGATTGCTTGAGGAGAAAACTTGAAACGAAAATAAACGGTGTCAGGACGGCTGTAACAGAAAAGCCAGTAGAAATGCTGTGACATCGGAAACTTACCCAGTCACGGAGAGAAAAAGGTGAAATCAGTAAGTGATCTTTTTCCGAACCACCCACACGTAATTGAGGGATGGGTTGTGGTTTGCAAGTCTCATCGGACCCACGACCCGCCAGCTGATGGAAGGCTTTCCAGGTAAGGGGACCATCAACAGTGTAATTAGACTCCAGCAAACGAGTCGAGGAGATAGCCTCCTGGAGCCATGGTCGCATAGTCTGTGGATGCAGCAAGATCGAAAACCAAAAGGTAATGCAGCAACGCGCCTAGCTATACTGAGGACAAAAAAGTTAGTAGACCACTGGGGATTGATAATAAAGTTTGCAAAATTCCCCACTCATACAATTGATTAGGATCAGCAGAAAAGATGATCAGCGCTTAGCAAACTGTTGATGTGATCGACAACAGCTATGAGCGATAGAAACAACGCAAAATTTACATGAAAGAAATTACTAACAAGGTTGTTGAAAACTCTTCGACAGCCCATGACCGATTTCGCCCTAGTTGGGGCTCATCAGGCGGGATCAGTCCCCGAGTTTCCGCCAACCTTAAGTTCTACTTGAACCTAAATTGGACTGATTTCGACAAAAACACCCATTTGCAAATCAATTTGGTTTTCACGAGAGAAGTACTCTAGTCGCCCATTTAAAATTGGCAAACTAAATGTTTCGTGATTCAGGAGCACGATCCCTACAGCAGAAGCTCGACTATGTATCTGTTCTTTCATTGAAATCTCGGAAGCCGTCCTAATACGGATATGTCCTGTCAGTTGAAAAGTACGCGAAGCTCTGAATTAACATCATTTAGTTAACTGGGATTCATCCACGGGACACTCGTTCGGTGCAAATGACAAGGTCTTACAACATTCCAGACATTCTCACCTTTTACCGGTCGTCTTCCTGTGGTTTTCTTTGATGTCAGTTTGGGTCGACGGGGATAGATTGCTGAGTGAAAATTCTTTTTGTGGCTCCTATCACATTACATACTACAAAACAAAGTGCTAACCCATCCCAAAGATGGAAGAAATAGAGCTTGAACAGTGACCGAGTCACTGTGTCCAACGGAAAAGCTTTTAAAAACTGATCCAGTTCGCTAAACCGATGTTCTCATGAAGTGAGATTACTAGTGTTTTTACTTCGGACGCTTAATTCTGACATTAACAGCAATTGTGTCATTGTTCATTAGACTGTGGGATATAACGGATACACGCGTTTCAACCACGCATTGCAACAGCTACCAGGATGAGTGAACCACGGCCTCAGCCTGAAATGAAAGCCATGTAGTTCACAAACCTGACGGAAGCTCGTTGATAAGCGATATGCTCACAAGCAATGTCTACCGGAGGGTTATAATATCCACTAATACAACAGAAAACTACCTACAAGGTCAACAGAGTGAAGCCACACGCAAACGAGAAAAACCCAGTATAAACAAAGTACATGTTTCTGGTGTCTGCGAGTGGCACATCTGAGTGAGCTGCAAATTTGTTAACCTGTACGATCGATCGCAAACTAACCACATATATGATTACCGCAAAATCGTCACAAACATGCCGATCGATCAGACACGTGCGCCTGCCGCGCACGTCAACACATTGATATGGGTATAAGTGAAAGTTCCGAAAAATGGGTTTACAAGAATGGTGCGGTCGAAACGAACTGACAACATATAGCATTATACAAACACCAGGTGCCGAGCCGAAATAAGATAGCTTGACCCTCGACCATGAATTAGAAGTGGCCTTAGTTAAGAGGAACAAACAAGATTAAGTAAGCTAACTACATGCTTGTGCCATAGAATCGCATGACAAAGAGAAACAAATTCAGGACAACCAGTTTGACATACGACCAAAGGAAAGTACTATTGGTGTAAATGTGGGACAGTTGCAACAAGTACTCTGTCCTCGTTTGTCGAATTGTGTATCATGCAGCACCACGAGTTGTCACGTGTCACCAATCAATCAAAAGCGAGCGTTCGAAAGCGAATGCCGAGAATAAAATCACAAGAAGTGTCAGTACCTTGTCAAAAAGTCATGCAAACCAACCAACTAGTGAAAAGTCGGACGAAGGACGATGTCCCTGTTTGGTCAGCCTACGGATTGGAAAGACTGGAAACTAGCTCAACAGGCATCCTCTGTAATGTCCGTGCACAGATTTTCTAAACTGACTGCACTTACTGCGAGTAAACGGATCTGATCATTGTGGTTTTCTGGGATCTTCGACTGAGCTTTGAATATGTAAGACGGGTGGACTGAAATTCCAGATTCCACGGCAGAGTGAGTGACGGGTGACTGATTCTCCACAGTTTTACTGGATTCACGAAAAGCAGCTGACACCAGAGCACAAACAGCTAAATGAAGCACGAAGTGTATAGACAGAAAGCAGATGTGAGAAAAATTGCTGATGAGGCAAAGCAGTCTAAGCATGAGCAGGCTTATTAGCAACAGCATGGTTTCCAGAGATAGCAACCTAGGTTCAAGAATCCCCCGAATAAAAAACTGCTATCCAACATTAGGTAACAAACACTAATAAAACATGGTAATATAGTCGTCTTGAGGTTCAATAAGTAAAGCATGGTCCTAGCAAGGGGTACAGATCAATTAACGAGATGAAACATCAGTGCGTTATTTAACGGTAACGAGTGTACTACGTACATCCGAATCTAACCAGACAGATTGGCGCCAAAAGTTGCAAACCTGAATAAAAGCCTGATCGGAAAAATCGAACACCAGTTACATAGCGTCACGGAAAACTGTCTGAAAGTCCCCTACCGGTATCATCTTTCCTATGACTCAGCGGGTAAACATGCTACCCTAGTTTCCATCAGAATAATTCACTATATAAATCGAGGTATACACATCCGTAAATTAAGTTGGTGTTAACGGGAAACATGACTGAATTTCAACTGAATCTTTCGTTTGTAATAATCTTTACCTGAACGCGTTGCACGAGGGCGCCTCATGTTTCAACAGGAACAATATTCAAGACATCAGAGCGTGTTTTTTCGATCCAAAACTAATTATATACAACTGATCAATTCAAATTTCAATGATACTAATGCTCGTAAACCCACATTTGCGACCTAGTTCTGACCCGACCAGTAGGTACCGCTACTGTTTCTGTACTTTAGCTGCTATACTTTTCCATTAATCCTTAGCTCGTTTTCGAAGTCGTAGTTTAATATGCGCCCGGAAAGCTTCGGTGCGCCTGCAGTTTCGCTCATAACAGAATAGCAAGCGATTCATTGATGCCCCGCACCCATCAAGTATTTCGTATTATCCACTAGTTAACAATAAAAAAGTTTCATCCGGTTTCAAAACACTTTCCTTTCGACTTGAATTATCGGGCTAACGGTGATCCACCCGATCAATACCCTCTAAACTCAACCAGCGCACAACCACTGAAGACAAAAATCATAAGGTGGACAGTCCAAATCCGAAGAATGAAGATAACGAACGTTTAGATCATTGAAGAAACAAGTTCAACAAGGTTTTTTTCACCGCGATCTCCGTCAAAGAAAAACAAACTTCTGTGGTCCTTGAAATGAGTGAGATAAGTCCGCAACAGGAGTGGACGCCAGGACTCTGGGTTTATAGTTAGCCAACGATACAAGAACGGCGTTTGTGAGAGAGCTACGGTGGCAGTGTGAACCTTCGTTATACTCACGTAACTTCAATAGCCATTGTCGTCTTGTGTACATTGCTTTTTCTAACGAATGAAGACCACTCAAAACACCAGGTAACTCAACTTAGGCTTTACAACTACTCGGAAACATGTTGTGTTAAGCTTACTAACTGATTTTTTGCTCTGTTAATGCACCTTGGTTGACACAGGTGTAGCAAATGTAAGTTTACCCAGTCAGTAAGATCAAAATCTCCGTGAGACATACCTCACTGACGTACACATTGTAATGTCCTCTTGGGGTAACAAATGCGGACAGTCAGCTGCGAGTTACCAGATCCTCAAGAGCTATTTTCATGAGGTCATGCTCGACCGCAGACGAGTAAACGGAACTGCATAACCCAACAGTTACGTTTTACGCTCCATGCGTAAAAGTTCGTCAGAAGCATCGATCAGAAGAGGATTTGCCACTAACTCCGAGAAAACCCCCTTCAAGTTACCTTGGCATGGTTTGACTGATGCCAAAGTATGTGCATAAGAAGCGGCGGTAGCTGGCTCCTACTCACAGAGGAAACGACAATTCACTACAACAAACCATTCGTAAAACAGTTTGGGATTGCGTCCCTGAGTACCTGGCATCACTGACAGCCACACTCTACACTGCAATGTCGTCAGCGACGAAGAGGCCATCGTTATTATTTCCTAGTTTTATCCGGTTTACCGAAGCGGCTAACCGCACTACTAGTATGCGCCCGTCACCCGCCCAGACACCGGCAGACCCAGGAGAGATAGACCTTACAATATGCGACAGACTACCACCTGAAATGTCGAAATTCGAAGAGCCAGTCAGCACGTGACCACACGACGTGAACCGAGATTGACGGAAAAATGGCACTGTATTCAGTAGAAATGCAAGTTGATCACATGGCAGATCAGCCACTCGATGTTGGACGATATAGCCAATAACTGCTGACCTAGATGTGACAGGTTGACGCTTGCTAGCGATTCGTAAGACGCCTACTGCTGATGGTTCCCAACGAAGACGAAACAGGTTTCCAGTATATGTAGACTGCCCTTACACAACAAAATCTCGACTGAAATAAAGGCTGGCTTGATTACTGGAACTCCGTAATTGGCAACAGAAGGTGAAACAAGGTGAACACATACATGTCGAATAGGACACCATTAAGCAAAAGAATCACGAAAAACTGTCAAAAGCTATGATATGTTTAGAAACTTACCATCATACTCCAACAGATTTTCTTTATTCGCACCAACTGAACAAGGTAGTTTGACCCTCCGGATAAATTCCATCAAGTTACGTACGGAAAACTCATCGTACACACTTCCCACGATTCGCTGAAGTAAAAGGAGATGCTCATAAGTAGTTGACGATTGCCACCATCCAGGAGGCCGTTTGTAGTTAGGAACGACTGAGTATGACGCCGAACGCCCATCGTCAGTGGATGCGGAAAGAAATCGTAAACTGGTAACCTCGATTTCATCTTCGTAAAAAAGATTTCCATTCACCACGTATTTCTGGTTCATTACTGCACTAAAGCCACATTTACAGTCTTTGGCGCATCCGAATCCTGAAGCACTGACCAGATCATGGGCTCCGAAGCCACCACCATTACTCCCAAGAGATGTCCTCTGTGGTCTACCATTCGATGGATTAAGCTGAGGTGCTGAATTAGACAAGTATACGTCGATCTCGTTTCCAAGTACTGAGGAGGTGCACTCACAGATATTACACGAATCAAAGTTGTGATCCTTGAACAAATTTAACATGGAATCAGAGAGTGCAAGATTGACCAAAATTCCACTGGCCTTTAACAGCCCAATTAACCTTTCAGCAAGTTCTTCAGTGACATAAGCAGAAGTGACAGATGAATCTGCTAGGTGAGCTACGGCACCGTTGGCGGGTGCAGCAGACAGAGAATGCGGTGATGGTGGCTTGTTATCAAAAGGAAGGGCTTCGCGCGATTGAGTGGTGATTGAAAATGTTGGAGAAACCGACCCGGATTTGGGGTGCGGTAGTTGAGCTGGGCTTGTGGCTGTGCGAAGAAAGCAACCACCAGTAGTACTGTCCACAAAAGTCGATAAGAAAGACGCTTTCGTGTTTTGCACCCGATGGTCGAAGGCATAAGGCAAGGTAGGAAGACGCTTCCCATTCGCGTTAGCGTCGTGCCGGGAAATTTGATAGCTGCTTGCTATACCGAAGTAAGCTGTGTACGAACGCGTGAACGACCAGTCCTAGAATGGAAGCAATAAAAAGGTGCGTTGGGTAGTATCACTGCCACAACCAACTGGTCGCATGGGGGGGGGGTATCGTGAGAAAAATGTAACATGTTGGCAAAAAACAGTTCTGCATGCGCAACAAGTGTTTCTGCAAATTAATCTATCAACATCAATCATTATACACATAAGATTTGCAAATGGTCAGCTTCTTTGCATTCAACCAAGCAAGCGCGATACCGAGAATAATTTTTCGAAAGGAATGTGCATGAAGCAGTTAAATCAAAACAAACTTATTAGCGAACTTACTTGATTGGGGTCGATATTCCCAAAATGGTGCGTCTGGATACAGCATTGCTTAGCTAAGGTAAGCAAATGTTGTGGTTGTGGCCGCTGTGACCAAACTGCAGAATTGCAGGCTGGATCGTGAGGGGTCACGATAGGCTCCGAAAGAACAGTAGTGTTAGGAAGCGATCCTGGGGAGTCTGCAGTATTGCTGGCAGAGGATCGGACATTCGCCCCAACAACTGCAACGCCGTCAACGGGACTTGGTTGCGGAGCATCGTGTGAGGGCGGCGTGGGAAGCATAAGGGCCAGTTCGGCGGGGCCCAAATGACCAGAACCGGTACTGCTCGCAAGACTGACACCCTTCTGGAAGAGGAGGAAAAATCAAACAGATTATTCTGTGAATAGGTAGATAAAATAGATCTGACGAAACTCTGGGGTGGAACACCAATAATACGGACTGAGCTCATGGAACTCTGAAGACCGTTTCAGGAGGAATAAAAAAGCCTATAAAAATGAGGCAACGGCTAGACCGGTTACAGTAGAGAGGACGAAAGTTTATTACAGATCACCACTGGACTCACGTGGGGTAGAAGTCCAAGAGTGCGACCCAACAAGCTACTTGTGCTTGTCGGCCCCGCAGTCGAGCACAACGATAGGTCCATCGTTGCTAAGGCCCCATGTCGATCGTCTTCAAGTGGCTCTGTCTCAGAAGCTTCAAAGAAAGCCTCTGGAGTGACAGGAACTAGAGGTAAATGATTGGAAACTAATGTCAAGATAATAAAGTTGACAAATCAGTCAGTTCACAACAGACAAGTTACTTACCTGGATCGAATGACAGGACCGAGTTTTGATATTGCTCGAGGGATGATGAAATCTGAGGATCTTCGGACAAACCATCAAATAAGTCACCAGCTAGCCCCCGCCAACATAGCCGGGCTCGTTTAGCGCGTGGTGCACTGGAACATAACAGTTACAACCATTCACGACTTACGAATATCTGAGTTCAGGACAATAATTCTGGATATAATTCTGGGCGTGGAGCAATACGGATGAAATGAGTGACATTAAAAAATTCAGCTTATTCCAAAGCCTCTGAAGACAGATGATGCGAGGCATCTACAGTTTATTTTTACCAACAATGCCTCAGAAAAGTTGCTGATGTCATATGGCGTCAACGAATTTGTAACGGGGTAATTTAAAAACGAATACCTGGTTGTACAGCAGGTACTTCAGTCGCAGAAAACATTAGGTACCATCAACCAGGGTTGCTCGGTCATGTTCTACGAATGCCGATACACCATGCACCCAGACCAGTGTTGTTCCCTGTGCTTCTTTCAGAATGACGCAAAATGCGAGATGGACAATGTGTTACTTGGCAGAATGGTGTGAAAGATATTACGAGTCTGGGTGTTGTTAATGTTGTACGATTTCTACGATATGGTCCCCGTGACCCAGTCTTCGATTGCCTGGATATATAGCAAGAAATAGCGGCTAATCGATGCCAGTGGCGTTCGTGCCGTCAATTTCCTTTGACTGTCTGAATGAGCGCTTGGAGGCGTAGTCACCTCAGAATACTTGCGGCAAGCCAGAACCAGGTCACCTCCCTCACCCATTTTTTCTCTTTGTTCTAAGGCTTTGAAAATAATTAGATAAACACTGGTTGTGCGGCCATGTAGCATCAGTGTCAACACCGATGTTGCTGTCGCCGATGATGATGACTCCAAAGCCCAATCTGCAGTATGGGATTCCGGGGCTGCAGCGAAAACACTGGTGTAAAACTCACCCAGCTCAGTCCGACAGAGCGGAATAATAGGGGCCGAATGATCGATAAGATGCGATTAGATACAGCGTCTGACAAGGCATCCAGTGGGCAAGCTAACTGAACACAGTGGACGTAGCAGTACCATTCGTCACTAACCCAACATTTTCCCCTTGGATGCGTTCACAACACACTTTCCTGGTAATCGCTGATTGTTATAACAGGAAACAGTGCATAGGGGTACCACAAGTCCATGCGTGAGAAAAAGCACAAAAAGGTCTGACACGACAGTGATCCTCACCTGTCCTCGCAAGTTAAGTTTTCCTCAGAGGATCCTAGCTTGAACGGGGACGCAGAACGATCGGGAAGAGAAATAGGGAGCTGGTCGGCAGTGGGCAGTTGGTGCCAGTCATCCTCATCCACTGGATCAAGTTGGAGGTTCGGTCTTCTGGGAGGCTCATTTGTAGCAAAATGATATTCCTGCTGGGCACACTTGGTTAACCACAAATTTCCGAATGAACGCTTGACAACAGCAAGAGACGCTGTTGAGTCTCTAGATTTCACTGCTTGATTACTGGGTGAAGTCGGTCGGTCCACAAGCACCAAACCACTTGGGAGTTGGTTTGATGGCTAGAAAGTACACGGCAGGTAGGCGTTGAGAAGTTTGTGATATCTAATACAGATATAGCACGGACTGGTTTATACGAAGAGAAAAACGGGTATTGTAACACCTTCCTGTAACAACAAACAAACAAGCATGGAAAGACTAGTTGACTGGGCTACCTAGCTTGTACAGGGCATTTCTGGTGCATTATGTCCTGTTCCAAGTCTGATAAGTGATAAAAACAACAGGTGCCTGATCGTTCTAGTTAGACTTTCAACGCTTGTACTCTGTACCGAGCTGAAAAGCAATCATCTCTATTTCAGAGATGCTTTTTCCTGGCGTTGAGGTATAGTAAGCCTCCTAACCTAAGATGAGCACAAAACTATCAAAAGTCGATTTCAAGCAGTACTATGGCAATATTCCTAGTGTCGAAGTAGGCCCTAGGCTGTGACGGTTCTTACCAAAACCAGGCTCGGTCGATTTATCCGACTAAAAATAGATATGAATTTAAGGTGGATACTGAGGAATGAACTACCCAAGGTTAATTCACTGATTAAATGAATTCAGACGGGAAATTCCCTTCCTGAACATACCGAAATTTAGAGAGGTCGCATCCAATGACTCCGTCAGTCCGTTTGCTTTACGCAACATAGGGCCCATATTGCGAAACTTGGGTTCGGTCAAGTCTACTAGATACAGGCCCTCGAAAACGCATCCATTTGTGCGGGACCGTTTGAAGGTACAGTGTCCCCTTTATCAAAATAGATCGATGTCTAGAAATCGGACATCTGGTTGACAGACGTACAACTGTGAGGTCCATGTCCTAGAGGATTTCATTGTAGCACATTATGGGTTTTCAATGAACCAAATCGAACGAAAACCACGCATCTAGTGCCTAATTACCTCATCTTTAAATCTTCTCCTCTGACCAGTACCATTGTTTTGCCTTATTAGATAAGAGTGGATCCTGTCAAGATAACCCCTGTAAAAAGTGCGGTTCTCTTCATCGATCCCCTTTTCAATTCAAGAGATGCACTGCTACGTGTACGTCGATCGACAACTCAACTTGAGGGCGAACCAGCTGATGGGTAGTGGTGTGCCCCAGACGACTGGAAGTTATCTACCATCCCAGAGTTTCTTGGGAAGTGTGGTTAAAATTGTTACGATGTCTCAACGGCCAGCAGCCGGGTCGATCGGTCAACTCGACCAAAACGGGTACTGGTCGAGGTGTTGAACAAACGAATCACATTGCCCAAGCGTGAACAAGTTTGCCCAAGTTAGCCGCAGCCAGCGTGGGTCAGTGGAGCAGTGGTAGTACGCTTGCCTTGCATGCCAGAGGTTAGGGTTCGAAACCCCGGCATGCCCGGGGTGATACAGTATGAGCGTTTGGAACAAAAAACCCCAGGCCCGTGCCACCGCCCATGTGCTCGGCTAGATACAGAAAAATACCTGGCTGCAAGTAGCTAGTTGTCTGAATGGGTGTTCGGATATAGGTCATCTAGAATACCCCTAAAAGCTAATACTAGAGCCATCATTCTACATTATTTTTGTTCCTTTCATTGATTTGGACACAAAAACGTCAATCGGACCTAAAGTCACGTCAGCATTGCTGTCACTGAAGATATGTCGTGCAAACGGAGGGGAGGCAGTGTAGGTTGTCGAAAGATCTAAATAACAGCGGATGCATTAGCGCTGACAGCATTATAACTGATAGATTCAGTGCACCTAGCTCAAAGGCCCGGGTCACGTTCCTTAATTGGCACGAGTTGTGATATCAAAAAACATGCCACTAGGTCCAAAAGGGTGCATGTATCACGTCCGTGCAACAAACACAATGAGGCCTCCAATCACTCATCACGGCTGGTCTATCTGTAAAAAGATGTGTGTAAACCGTTAGGCTGAACACTTTAAACAAATCAAACTGGCCGCCCGCAGTTGCTCAGCCGGATTCCGACCTGAAACGCCGTTCTGGACAGTGAACCTGAAACCCCGACGGCTTTGAAGAAAAGTGAATGTCACTCGCCTCTAGAGGCTCACCGAGCTATTGGCTCCAATGACGTCCCAATGGTTCTGCTACAAAAAATCATCCAGTTGTAGTACCCTTTCGGTTCCTAACTGCAGTGCCATGAGGAAGCCCGAGGGCTGGGATACTGCCAGGTTGCCCATGCCCATACAGGGGAAGTCGAAAGACAAAGGTCGGGTTCGAACCCCTCACTTTCCGGTTAGTAAATTCGCGCTCTAAGAACTGAACCATCTCGCTTTACTCAAAGAGGGGAGTGAAAGAGAGACCATCTCAACCAACTGGAGGTGAATCCATAGTGGTGCCCACTTTGAAAATGGGTGCTGGCTGTGGTGACCACGAAGGAACTAGATTGACCCGATTGTAATCAGATCCTTGTCGCTTGTCTTACGCTGTCTTACGAAAGCACGTAAAAACGGGACTCCAGCTCAGTAGGCACAGACGTACATTGAGTGTTATGCAAGGATGAAAAACTGAAACGGTTGAAAATAATAGCCTAGATGAAATCACGCGGAATCACTATGTAGGGGCATCTCAAATGGCTTTTTGGACGTTGAACCAGAGTAATCCAAGAGCATAATCCAATAAGAGATGCAACTACCTCTTTGAATTCCTGGCGTGTAGCTCAGTTAATTGTCACATGCGTTACGATAGCCAGAATCCTCGGTAAACAACTTACTATCTTGAGTCTATCTTGACCTGTAAGCGTTAAAGCACGCTTCAAACGAACTTTCCTTTGTGCTGTTTCCATCTGATATGTAACGGAAGCATATGACGAGGAACACCATCCGTTTGAAACTGTTGCTCCTACCGAAGTGTGCAATGAATGCAATAGGATTTAACCGCATCCATAGTAATATCTTTGGTGAATGCTTCCGCTCTGAATGAAATCCAGTGCGCCCAAACGCGATCAAAACCGACCGATCAGCTGTGTAATGTATTACTGCGGCGCCCTTATGCTCAAGCTCGACTGTTCAACAATCAACCAAGGGAATAAACAACTGTGGAGAACTAAGGTACTCTTCCTGCACAAGATGAACTTTAGGAAATTACTTCGAGCGGGGCCTTTGTCAATTCAACATTGTTATGGTGCTGTTGTGACTAGTTCAAACAACCTATTTCAGCACAAATTGTTTTCTTACACACTCACTACATTTTTCCCCTCCATTCATAGAACAGAGGCCCTTATAATCACTCACTCTAGCAACGTGATCACATCATCAACATTGCGGCACTCTTCCTTTTTTCATACAGTGTCCTTTAACGGCAGCTCGTCAAACAATAAAACTCCTACTTTACGTAAATTTTTATTCTTTTCTCTGGCGAACCGCATCAAGCTCAAAATTTTCACATAGATCAGCACTAAAAATACCAATACTTGCTGCCCTGAAAAAAAATACTGGCACATTCGATGAGCTCAATGAGCTTAACTTGACTGTCCATTGGTGTTTGCAACCCATCGATATGGCATGATGTAGTCGGTCGTATGTTCTATCCTGGGAATTACACTACTGCAGCAAGTAGTCAGAAGGCAGGTTCCAAAAAGACAAACACTTGTTTAAGATTGGATTCCTTAGGATTTGGTATTAGGTGCTGAGGCCGGAAGAGTATATACTGGCATTCACTTCCGAAAAACCACTGGTAACATTTTTCTAGTTGGAAATAGATCCGCTAGAACGTGACATACAGACTGACACTGAGATTAAAGCGAGCAAGTGGACGTTCACTTAATAACAGTGCCGACGAAATATTGCATAAATTAAAATCAATTCCCCGCAGTGAAACATACATCAACCGAAGACGGAGGTGGAATTTTAGTGGCAGAAGTGGAGCCAACAGTGTCTATTCCTGCCACTACTGAAGCGGAGGATAGCGAAGGAGGAGCATTCAAGGCAGAACTTGACACTGAGGCCGCTGAAATTACATCATTTCTTGCACATAGGGGCACGGATACCTCCAATGAAGTGCGGTTCCAATTGGCCACAGGAGTGAGATTTGTGCCGATAAGAGAAGTTGGTTGTTGTGGACTGAGTGTTGGCATGGAAGGGTCATGGGGAACCAAAACATTACAGCTGGGTTGGGAAGTTCTGCCATGATCGCAGAAAGCATCGAGTTCGTTGACCAACGTCCGAAGGGTGCTACGAGAGACAGAGTCATTTGCGTGAAAGGTCCGTCGATCAGAGAGCTGATGAGAAATCCTAGACCTACGTAAACGAAAAGATGGAATTAAAACACCAACACTGTGGAAACAAATCATTCGGTTTAGGAAACGAAGAATAAGGGCAAATAACCGAAATAAGTCATAATAGTCGGTTATTATACCACATTTATCCCAGTCTCCTTGAATAATGCATTCTGCGGTAAGGATGACAAGAAGTGAGTACGATGGGTGGACCATGGAGCATACCAGAGGAAAGGGTAGATACATGTACCCAAATGTTGGTGGTTGACGTGCACTGTATGCGCGAATTAAAGAGAACCGAAACCCACACACTGCGTTTGGGCATCCGACAGTTTTTGAAGAACAATGAATTCTTTGATGCAACACAACAGGTGTGAACAAGATAGCTCCACATATGATACCTTACGGAATGGGATGGTTTCTGTGACCGACGAAAATCGGGAAACCCTACCTTGGACAACAGCAAGTTGTCTTCACAAACGGACTCCGCGCTGACCAAGAACGAGTAGTTGCAAGGCGCTTCCGGTCACCGTCGCTCGCGTCCGTGGGAACAAATGTTGGGTTTGGGGTCTCCGGTTCAGTGGACCAAGTTCGCTTGTTATTGGTCGGCAAAAGATGAACATGACCCGAACGATCTAGTGATCGATCAGCAAAGTAAATGCGACGAACATCAAACAGGAGGTTCGTTTGGAGCGTTCCTGACGAGGCTGGTGTACCATCTTGTGTACGCCTGTCTTTCATTTTAGAAGCTCTAATTCTTCTGCCACGAGAGCGCCACAAACGCATAGACTTGGACTCTCGGGAGTTTTGTGACAAAGTACAGTCCGGTTGCCTCGAATACCCGTGATGTGTGGTTGGCACAACTGATGTCGGGAAAAGGTCCTCTGCCGTTGGTGATGCATTCTCGGCGGACACATCATCCTTGTCAGCATCCGAAAGGAGCACGAAACAAGATGGATAGCGCATCCGGAATCCACCTAAAGATAATGTAAAAATAGGTTGCAGTGAGCTGGGCCTCAAGCATGCATGCAACTGGAAGTGATTTCAGGGTTGCATATCATCAACAAGTGGAGTCGTTACTTATCACTCTCAACTCTCCAATGCTGGCCTCATTCACCTCTCGATGAAACTCTAGCGTCCGTCAAAACCGTTGACGGGCGTTTAGTATGGGGACGAAACAAACTTTTCTCTAGAAATTGATTTCCAGCATACAGCAAAAGGGACGAAGCGAACCGCAACGACTGCCCCCAACAGACAACGCAAAATATGACAAATCATACCGCAAAGATTCGGGTGGCGAACGGTGGGATGTTACTGTCATAGCTTGATTGATTGACACAAGACAACTACGAAAGACAGGGAAAGTGGTGATTTTACATAATCTCTCCAAAACATTTGATGTTTGACTTGAATGAAAAAGGTCTACTTTACATTCTATGTGCTGAGTTAAAACCGGTACCGAAGAAACCGAAGCCATGGTTAGACTTTTTTAAATCAATGGTAGAGTCGCAGAGAGAAGAGACAGGCGAGATAAATGAATCCAGGACTTCCAGGTCATAGGTGTGCAAGCCCACCGATGCACCGGTTAGCTCCATCTCCAAACTGATGATTGGTACTAGGACATACGCGGCCAAACTGCCCAGTTCAGTGAACACACCTTTGCTTGAGTCGCGATTAGGTGTCAGTCTGGGCACTGCCACATCACCCGAAAATTGGACACAGGGTCCTCAACTGACGAAATTGGCCCATTGGGCAGCGGAAGCATTTACAAGAGAAGCAAGATTGGTAGAATTTTCCAGGAAACTCAATCCGGAAAGTGAGAACTATGTTCAAAGTAGGACAGGTTTCACGAATGGGTGGACATTAGTACAGCTCAATGATTTAGTGAGGCGTTTAAACTGAGTTTAGTTTCAACTGAAAATCGTCAGTCTGGTTTGTTGAAGTGGCACTTCGCTTCAGGTTCTTTTCAACCAGTGATACCGGCAGAAAACGCGTTTATGCTCCCCTAATCAGGAAAAGTGCTTCAGTCATTGAGACCACAATCCATTATTTGAGTCAGTGGGCTGCTATTCGAGGGCAGACGGACTCTCCAGACAGTAAGTTCGCGCCCTAACTAATAATCACTATCATCATCAGAACCGCGTACTTGCCGTACAATGGCTACAGCTGCAACAGTTTCGTTCACCGATGATTTGTGAAGGGCAAGTAAATGCGTATTTGGGGGCAAGAGCTGTATAACTGATGCTTGAGTAGATGGTTGCCAGTCTACTTGTAATTGAGGTTGGGAGGCGAGCTATGCATTGAGGGGAATTGCTTGGATTTATGAGCTCAATTGAGGGCACGACCGGGCCATGTTTGGCGATGCTTCTAACAACTGATGTGTCCTGTCTGGCGGTCCCCATTCGCAGAGACAGCAATGACCAGCAGAGCTGAGTTTACTGGTACTGGCTTCCATACTTCGCCGCCAAGTCATTGTTTGACCTCCCCTGACTCGGCTCCACCCTTCACATCGTTGTGCGGAAAGAACTCTTCGAAGAAGTCGGCCAACTGACAAAGCCAGCGCAACCTATGAAGTGTGATCAGTTCATCTATCAAGGGCGAATTATTTCTTCCGAAAACCATTCGACCACCCGAAACCATTCAGTTGGCTCATCCTCAAGCATGATGTTAGGGTTCGAACTCACCCAGTCTTGCAGCAGCATTTTCCACTTTGAAGATGTGAAAAGCATACCGAACGGTGACGCAGAATTACTTAGATTATTAAATATTATTTGCATTACTACGTCAGATCTGAACAGAGCTATTTCACCTGCATAATCGATATCTGTGAGCGAACGCCCAGGAAGCACTTCGATCCCACAGGCATGAGTCTGATGGTGGGTCCTCCATAATCGTATCAATGACGAAGTTGAAGAGGAAAAGTGAAAGAGGGCAGCTTTGTCTGACAGCACTTGATGCGGTGAGCTCAGGCGAGAGCTTGTCGTAGACCTACACACGTCTGCGAGTGCTGGCATACAGCGCCTTTGCCTCAAAAACACTGCCAGAGTGCTTGCCGGTCCAGAGTCAATGGCGACTTTCAAGTCAACGAAAACAACCACCATTGGTCACTGGAAACAGTGATGCTGTTAAAGAATCCTTCGGATGGCGAAAATGTGGGCGATGCATCCTCTTGTAGTACGAAACCCGGCTTGGTTTTTACGGATCTGTCTCCCTCTCTGTATTCAATCAACCTTCGAAGTATAAGACCGGAAAGCACCTTCGATATCACAGCTATCAGGCTGATGCCATAATTTTCACACAGCGTCCGTGAACCCTTCTTAAGAATAGGAATAACTATCGACACGCCCCATTCTGCAGGCACTTGCTCTTCACTCGTTTAATGGGCTATTAAGGTTTACATTACATCCATTATCTCCAAAAGCTGCTGAACGAGGTCAGCTAAACCGTTCTCCGAAGTGTTCGGCCCATCTTTCCAGTCGACGTTTTTGCGAGTGAATTATTGACCCATCTTTTTCATCTATCGTTTCGCTGACCGTTGCTTTCCTAGGGCCAATCGATCGTATCAGTTGATATAGGAAAGACAGTACTGAACGTCGCTAGCACAGCCCCTTTCACATTTGGCCGTGATTCGTCCACGTGCTCACTATCAGTACAATATTCGTTTACTGTAGGAAGTAGTGAGCCAGCTCAGATCGATACTGTCGAGCTATGTCAGTTCTCCGAAGATGGTGGATTGGCATGCTTCTTACTGACCTGCAAGGGCCTGAAGGGAAACAAACCATCCAGGGGTGCAAGCATGATGGCCTGATCGGAATCTAGTTGTGCCGCAGAAGGAACGGCAGTCTTGAATTGTGCTCTACATCGGTGGCTGATGGCCACGTGAGCCAGCTGGGTCCATGGTTGATTTGCAGTTGGTGGCCGCCAGGTTACGCAATGCAACTGTTTATGCCGAAAGTTCGTACTGACAAAAAACAGTTCATGAGCGGCACACAACTGGAGGGTCGCTCTTCGTTGTCTGTACGACGAGCACCAACCCCAAATGGACCGCACAGATGTGATTCCAAAGAGCTCAGACGACCGACTTGGGTATCCATGCCGCCCGTAGGGATAAAAAATTTGCTAGACAAATAATCCCAGACAGCTCTCGATAGAACGTATCCTTCTCAGCGTCAGAACTGCAGTCCGGTGGGGCATAAACCGACACTACAAAGAGAAACTGCTTTTTATGTCGAGGGTATTGGGTTTGATTGAGCTGGATAACTGGACGGTGCGAAGACGACTGTTCACTGGAACCCGATCCAGCAAAGCGCGTTTAGCTCTGCGGCTGAGTGCAACTCCCAAGCCATGTATTCCGCGAGTCATCGCTTGTGGATCACCGGACGCACGAAGGGAGAAATATGAAACAGCTGAGCTCGTCCTTGGGGTTTTTAAATGCATAACCACGTTTGGGTCTTGCATGCGTGTTTTGGAGACATAGCATCAATTTTAAGAGAGTATAAGGTATCACCGAGCACCTCCTGACAACCAATTTGAGGTAGAGTACGGACGTCAAGAGCTCCTACGTAGAAAGGATCTCGGGGATTTAGAAAGGTGTTATTTCGTTAATTGTTAATAGACAGCGGAAGCATAAGACCCATCGGTCAGATAACTGATAGTCAAATGTCACAGCAACGTTTGCTTGTGATGGAAAGGCGTTGAGGAGGGACACCGGTGGAATCAGAACTGTCCGAGCAAATAACACTTGCCTAGACCGAAGGAGTTTTGGTTGAGGAATCATACCTTGAACCATTGGCTCAAAAGTCTGACCCACAAGGCAGTAGGAGGATGTAGGATTTTGTTCGGGGACCGAGCCCCTGGCCTCTGACTCAAAAGTCTGACCCATAGAGCAGCGGGCAGTACGGTTTTCTTTTGGGGAATAAGCCCGGAGCCGATGGCTCACTATTCTCACCTGTTCGGTGTGCAAGGGGCTGGTCTAACCCGACGGCGTATGAAGTAAGGCATCACTTTTACTCTCGATGCGACTGAGCAAGACAGATGCCTTTTGAGCATGTAAGGACGCGCCCAGACAGGAAAAAAAGCACATGTGCAGAGTGACGCATCCCAAGGTCACCATCGGTATGACACGCCCGGAAAGTAGGTGAGTTGGCGGCTTTCACCAAACATGGCTTAGCAACATACGACCAGCGTAGTGGGCCTGAGATTGTTCACGACCGGAACACCGCCATTGGCTATACGGAGCGAACAAGTGAACGACCATATTTGGCCATTTAGCCATCCTATATATTACGCAGACGCTCTGTATGTTTTGTCCTGGCAATACAGCCGTGTCCCCAGTTTTCTGTCCTCTCCATACCGCGTAATCTGGCAGGCTCAGTGCAGGCGTAACCAACAGACGGCCACCCACGATACAACAGAGCAGTACCACTATTTGGTTTTAAAAATATTCCGACCGTATTGAGCAATGCGCCGGCGATCACGGCCAACCGTTGGGCGAATGGTGTGAGGTTTTTCTAACCTGTAGTTCATCGAAGGAAGGCGGCGTCGCTGCTTCCATAAATATGGACATGCTGGTCGCCTGGAGGAAACGCCATACTGCCTTCACACTCTAGACCTACAGACCGCCTCGTAATACAATTACTCGCAGTTCTTCGGCGGGCTGCTATCCGTTGGCCTTTCTACAAGCAGAGCAACTTCCTGTCCGATGTCCAACATTTGAGTGCAGCTGGCAGTGCGGCGCCGCAGGTGAAACTCCCGGTATTGTACAAAGGTGCAGCGGTCTCGTTTCGGTGAGAATTGAAACCCGACGGCGGAGCAATTGGAAGAGACCAGAAAAAGGTTGTGATAAATTCGGGATCTGTCAGCTTCTCAGTTGCCAAGCCATTCGTTCGCTTCTTAAGCGGACCTGAAAAGCGAAGCAACTGAGGAAGGGTGTACTACCGGAATCCATACAAGTGTTCCAAAAGGAACAACGATCAGTTATTTATCCGCGCTATCGATAATACAGAAAAAATCGTTCAGCTGTGACACCCTTTCGGTGCTTAGCTGCCATGCCACGCGAAGAAAGCTCGAGGGCTGTGATAAAGCTGCTGGACGGCACCATGTGGCTCAACAACTTCGGTTAATTTGGAAGGCAATACCGTATAGTCAGCAGATTGTTGAAACAGTTATTCTACGTTCTGTCCAATCCAAGTAGACCACCCAAAAAGATCACAGCTGCGCTACGGCCTCCCACTTGTGCACGCAACCCCACTCCCAACAACCACAACAGTGAGCTTTTAACTTGCAGTAACAGGGCTCCCAAGGCGCCATAATTGTTGCCTCTGGTAATGTCAGAGATAGATTTGGTTAGGCGTAAGTAAACATAGCGGCTTGTGACAGTTCTTCACCGACGTTTCCAGATGAATCCCACAAACGTGGCTACCAGCGGCTATCCAGTCAAGGATGCAGAACGATGCCGACGCTTGCAGTCCGTCGCAGCGACTTCTGGAAATTGCTTAATGGCCTGATGTTCAAATAGCCGCTGATGAGAACCTTTTCGATCCAGAATATCCATATGATATCGATCTTTTTCAGAGCAGAAGGCACATAAGTTTGGATGGACTGATCAGTCACTCGCAAAATGTAAATTCATGATTCCAGACACCCAGCTACTGAACACGCCACTTACAATCGAAGGAAGCACTCGATGTTGTGTAGCGTCTTACATATCTTGGGAGTTGTATAAGTTTTCACTTTAGTGTGACAGAAGAGGCCAAGTAATCAATTACTAAGGTTCAGGTCACCGATTCGAGACACCTATGGCATAATAGCGGTATGTTCTTGAATCTGAAGAGGCGCGTGTACCAGGCTATATTATGGACTGTTTTGTGGTATGGCTGAGACGTGGCCTCTCCGAGGAGCGGAACTGAGGCATCCTTAGGTATTCGACAGCCATTATCTCAGAAACACAACACGTGTAGACTGGTGTCAGTCAATCGGAAGCGCCAAATTTGGAAATAGATGTTCAGTTGTACAAAAAGTCTTCAACTGCAGAATGTCTGTAGCACCAAAAGCTGCGGCGGTTAAGTCGTGTGTTGTGCATGTCGACTGTCGTCTGGAGGAAAGTGCTGTTTTTCGTGCTCAACTCGAAGTGGTGCATTAAGGGTTTTTCGTAAATTATGGTTGTACGGCAGCGAGGCATCAGTCGTAGCGCTATCGACTATCATCATCACCGTCAGCTGGAATAACCGTATACTTGTCGTACAGTGGTTGTAGCTGGCATAGTTTCGTACACCGATGATTCGGGGTGGGGTAGGTAGCTGTGCATTGGAGACGGGAGCTTTCGACTATGATGATGACTGGACTGTCGGAGATGTGCAGCAAGAAGAGGGAGGGAGCAGTTGGCTCAGTGACTGCGTTCCAACGCGCGGCTTGAAGGTAGGGTCCGGGGTGTCTGACAACATCAATGCCGACCGAAGCCCAGATGGCGCAGCTGGGGACGACGTGAGACCAAAGGGGTGCCAGTCCTAGGAGAAGGGTCTACGAGGAAAGTATTAATAACGATAGGTGGAGTTAAGTGTGAAAGAGATGAAAGGTGTTACAACAGGGTTCGTTTACTTGCTCTACCGTACGCCAAAAATTAGTCAGCACAGCTTATTACAACCCAATGGTCGATGTAGCATGAGATTATTCCCGGTGCTGTGAATCACTCTGGTACACGGTCGGGATACTGTGAAGGCGCCCAAAGTTAGAGAGGATGATCAGGACCTTCCACTAAAGCCCTTAGCGTAGAATCTTGACTGCACGGAGGCGATGTATGGCGAGAAATCCCTGAGGAACAGATTTTCCACGCGTACATGTTCGACTCCAGATAGAAAAACGTAAGCATGAAAAATAGACACCAAAATCTATGAAAGACGTACCAACAATCACTTCAACGAACTTGGGAGTTCCTTCTGAAGGCTTGCCATCCGTTTCGACCTCCCTGATCCGTTTATCCGCGACGCTGTTGTATTTGTGTTGACCCTGAGTCCGCAACCCCTGAACGGACGCCATAAACTGGGGGAGACCAGCATCCAGAAATCCACAGTTGTCCAACTCGACAGCCGGTTTCAGAGGATAAAACCCAGCCCAAGTCTCCAGTTCATCAGTCATGTCCTTATCAGTGACAAAAGTGGCACGACCGACAAGCTCAGCAGATATGCCGTAAGGAGCTAAGACGACTATAAAAATATAAGAGAATTAGCTATTTCCGTTTAGCGAAACTGTCTGCATTATAAAAACGGCAATAAATGGAACAAATACAACCAAAAAGTACAACCAAAAATATCAGACAGCAATCGTTAAGGTCACTTGACCGTCAACCTCACATTGAAAAACCATGAGTAAAACGGAACAAGGAAAGCTTTCAGGATGACAACAGTGAACTTCTCTTGACACTTGGGCGATCACTATTTGTTTCCCTCCAGCTTATACATTTCAACATGCTCTTTCCCGTTGAACGATGGCTAAACGGATTAGCAACCCTACAGCTCACAGCCGACCCAGCGTGGACATTTTCAATAAAATGACGATATTAATAAATCCGAGAAACGATTTTTAGCGACCGAATGACAAGCATGAAATTCGATTCCCACAAACCTGACCAAAGGACGTACCTCGGTGATAAAACTGAATTCCCTAACAAAATATAGTTTCTATACTCAAAATAAGAAGCTTGGGCGTATTTCACGTCAATAATGCGTGATAAGCTGGAGTAGTTCCAGAAGTCTGAAAACAAAATATGCCAGCTGATGCTTGTGAAAGCATCGGAGACATCTTATCAGAAGTCCTTAGACCGCGTACTTCGATCAAATCTGGTTGTCGGCCTGCGTTCCAAGAGGATAACCATCCAGCAACAGAGGCCCGGATATCAGGAGCAAAAGTGTAGCTCTCATTTTCCCACCAGTTGTACATAAAGGTAGCGGCAAAGGCATCGGTTAACACAGCTTAGTTGCGTGTCTAAGACTGCCGCAAGCAATGGTGTATCAATGAGTATTCTGGAAGGCTATTAAAACTTGATGAGTTCATCAGTTTCAGATCCATTAGTTCTTTTTGTATCAGTCTTTTTTCTCCTTTGTGTTGCATCACGATGCCAGTAAGTCTGGTTTTGCGACAACCACAAAATGGTCCACTAGCGAACAGCGCTTCTCCCTCATAGAGACCACAAATACGAGCACATAGTAACGTCGTTCCGGAGTCGATGACGATGAGGGAAGATTGACTATTCTGCCCATATTTTGGCGATTTGCATGTGATTTCTGACAGGGCTTATGGTCTTTACCACATGTGCAAATAACCGCTGAATGTCACCCTTGCAATTGATTAGGACCAGACAGCATCCAGACAACTCGTTTTGAAAGTGCCCCACAATCGAAGCAACTTTTGAAGCGGCTCGAAATGCAACAAAAAATGACCATCGTCTTAGTGCGGTTTTAAGAATCATTCACGACAAACCTGCCCTAAAAGGCAGCCAACGCAATCGCAAAATTCGGTTCAGACAGCTTTTGTGAAAATTTTTATTCCGCGTGTTAATACTCTCAAGTGACTTCTCACATGCCTCACCTTGACGTACGTGCAGTCACCTTTATATGATATGTATTTCGCTATTTACTTACGCAATGTACTTACGTGCAATATTGAAAACCGTTCAGCTGTGGCACTATTTCGGTGGCCACCACGGATGGGATACTGCCAAGTTGCCCCAGTCTAGACAGGGGAAGTCGAGATGCAGGGGTCGGGTTCGAACCACATACCCTTCGGTTAGTAAATTCGCACTCTAAACACTGAGCTATCTCGCCCACTTGCAAGATTAGATAATAGAAATTGTTCAGAAGGAACATGCTTTCGGTGCAGTTGCCATGCCACTCGAAAAAAGCTCGAGTGACGAGATATCACTAGGTTACCCGAGCTTAGACAGAACCTACCATATTACGACATGTACCAACCCACGAGACGGCGAGTTTACTTTGACCGTTCGGTCTGAATAAACCAGAAAGCCTAACTAAATTAAGCACTGTTCGCTAGGTCTTAAATAGCATAGTTTATGAGATTACCATTGAACACTTTGGGACCTCACGAATCGATATTAGATAGTTTAGGTTTGCAAGTTTGCATTGAGAAAAGGATCGCAAACGACGCATGCGCTGAGTAGACAGAATTAAAGACAGTTGTGGTCGGGGGTGAACAAACACCAGATAAAGGAACAATCTGATGGGCAGACAAAGCCGGAAGCCGACATATTCAACTTTGTGAAAAATATGTGTGTGGACATGTAACGTGGAAGTCTGAGTTGATCGTCTAGAACTCTCGCGCATGAGCATTGCTCCATTCGGTAGTAATCAGGTAAAGCATGGGGTTCCGTCAGAATGGCCTCCATTTATTTTGACAGCATCTAGCACAAAATCCCTCGACTGTAGCACCCTTTTGGTGCCAAACTGCCATGCAACTCGAAGGTTGCATGAGGGCTGGAATACTGCTAGTTTGCCCAAGCCTAGACAGGGGAAGTCGAGAGGCAGAGGTCGGGTTCGATCCACGGACCTTCCGGTCAGTAAATTCGCCTGGGCCATTTTCCCTTCCTCTAGCATCCCAGGAGAATTCGGATTACCTCATTGTCATGAATATTCTTTGTGCTCTAACCATGCTCTTCATTTTTAGCTTATGTACGTCTATTCTTAGACAAGTAAAGCGCTATTCATTCTACGCCATTCATTCTTGTTCTCGCGTCGCGCCAGAATCGATATTCTATTCGTAACAATTTACTTGTCTAAGAATACGATGGAACCGTTGCTGCGACCCAAGTGTTTCGACGCAGATCCTAATTCTCCAGATGTAACAACGCGTTGGAATCATTGGTTCCAAACCTTCCAAACGTTTCTGGGCACCGTCGAATCGCCCAATCTAAATAAACTCGAAACTCTGATCCATTTTGTGGATGCACCTGTATACGTTTATATCGCTGACTGTCCAGATTACGAATCAGCTATCAGTACACTTGAAAAGTTGTATGTTCGTCCTAAGAATATAATTTATGCTCGCCATCTTCTACAGACTTGCAAACAAGACACCAGTCAAGATGTTGATCAGTTTGTTCAGAGGCTTAAATCCTTGGCCAAAAATTGTGATTTCAAGGCGGTGTCCGCCATTGACCATCAAAACGAAAGTGTACGCGATGCTCTAATCAACGGACTTCAGTCTACTACCATCAGAGAACGACTTCTAGCTCAAAACGAACTCACTCTCGATGAAGCTCATGAATTGGCCAGGTCATTAGAATTGGCCCACAAACAAGCTCAGTCATACTCACATAACCAGGCGATATCATTTTCTGCGGCTGCAGCACCTTTACAGACATCTACAGTTATCCCTTCACACTCAAACTCCCCTGATTCTACACCCTATCTCTCGTCAATCAGTTCTCAGATATGTTACTTTTGTGGTCGTTCCAGACATCCACGGTCAAAGTGCCCCGCAAGAGAAGCAGTTTGTAAATCATGTGGCAAAACAGGCCATTTTCAGCGTGTTTGTCGATCCAAATCTGTAAAGTGTCACTCAAATTGCACAACGGATTCGGCCTTATCTTCCCTGTTGACTGCTGCGGCCCCGAACTGCTTGTCTCGCACGGTGACCAGCATAAAGGTGAACGGGATATCGCTTCAGGCCCTCATAGACACAGGAAGTTCGAGCAGTTACATATCTCCTTTGGTGGTTGGTAAACATGGCTGGAAGGTATATGCTAACAATTCTGTGATTACCATGGCATCTACCTCTCTGACGTGTTCAACTAGAGGCTACTGCTACGCATCCATCGATTACAGGGGCACCGTTTACAAAAAGATCAAACTATTGGTATTACCCAATCTATGTGCTGACCTGCTGCTAGGCCATGACTTCCTTGGTCTACATAACAAAGTTGAAATCACATTCGGTGGGGACCGAGGTCCATTCACCCTCTGCGGTCTACCTGCTGCTGCGGTCGAGTCACCTCCTCTTTTTGCTAACCTCTCACCCGACTGCAAGCCTGTTGCTACAAAATCGCGACGTTATAATCCGGACGATGAACAATTTATCCGCTGTGAAGTTAATCGACTATTGGATGAAGGTATAATCGAACCTTCGAGTTCTCCATGGAGGGCTCAAGTACTGGTCACGAAAAATTCAAACCACAAAAGACGCATGGTAGTGGACTACAGTCAAACCATTAATCGGTTCACATACCTAGACGCGTATCCGTTACCGCGACTGGATAAAATGATCGAAGAAATTTCCCGTCATACTGTCTTTAGCACCTTAGACCTATTGAGTGCTTACCATCAAGTTCCAATCAGTGAGCAAGATAAACCGTATACGGCTTTTGAAGCATGCGGAGAGCTGTTTCAGTTCCGTCGTATTCCTTTCGGTGTAACCAACGGAGTAGCATGTTTTCAACGTACTATTGACCAAATAATCAAGTCTGAGAACCTAAGTAGCACCTACGCTTACATCGACAACGTCACTATTTGTGGGACTACCCAAAGTGAGCATGACCAGAACCTCAAATCTTTCTTTGAAGTAATAAGAAAATATGGAATTACCCTTAACTGTAAGAAAAGCATCATAGCAGCCAAACAAATACGCCTTCTGGGCTACGAAGTCTCTAAAGGAATTATCAAACCAGATCCTGAACGAATGAAACCTATTCGTGAACTCCCTCATCCACATGACGCTAAATCCCAACAACGTGTTGTTGGTATGTTTGCTTATTATTCGCAATGGATACCATGCTTCTCTGACAAAATCAGTGTGCTTGTCAGAAATAAGACTTTCCCCTTACCGGAGCGTGTGCAACAGTCTTTCAAAAATTTAAAGAAGGAGTTAGAGAACGCCATGGTTGTGACAGTCGACTACAACGCACCATTGGTTGTCGAGACTGACGCCTCAGACATAGCCATTGCTGCATCTCTGACTCAGAACGGCCAACCGGTGGCCTTCTTTTCTAGAACACTGACACCGAGCGAAAAGAATCACTCTGCTATTGAGAAGGAGGCATACGCCATCGTTGAATCTATCCGTAAATGGAAGCATTATCTCTTCGGGAAGCACTTCAAGCTTATCACTGACCAGCGGTCAGTTTCCTTTATGTATGGTTCCTCGCAAAAAAGTAAGATAAAAAATGATAAAATTCAGCGATGGAAAATGGAACTTTCCGCTTTTAGCTACGATGTGAGCTACAGACCTGGAAAAGACAATCTGGTTGCTGACACCTTATCGCGTAACCTATGCGCCAATGTGATCGGCAATGATAAATTAAAAGAAATTCACGATTCCTTGTGCCATCCTGGAATCACTCGAATGCACCACTTTGTTCTTTCCAAAAACCTGCCGTTCTCTCTCCAAGATGTCAAGGACATCACCACAAAGTGTACGGTTTGCGCCGCCATCAAACCGCAGTTTTACAAACCACCCCCCGCTACGCTCATCAAAGCGACCCAACCATTTGAACGAATTAGCATCGATTTTAAAGGACCTCTACCTTCTGTTACTCGAAACCGGTATCTCCTTACCATCGTTGACGAGTTTTCTCGTTTTCCGTTTGCCTTTCCCTGCGTAGATACATGTGCGTCTACAGTTATTAAATGTCTGTGTGAGTTATTCTCTTTGTTTGGCATGCCTGCATATGTACATTCGGATCGTGGCTCGTCATTCATATCTGACGAACTGTCCACATTCCTACATGACAGGGGAGTTTGCACCAGCCGAACAACTTCTTATAATCCCCAGGGGAACGGGCAAGTCGAACGCCTCAACGGAACACTCTGGAACGCAATCCAGCTTAGACTCAAGACGAAAGGCCTCCAAATCTGTCACTGGGAGTCGGCTCTACCGGATGCCCTCCACTCTATACGGTCCCTTCTCTGCGTCTCCACGAATGTTACTCCACATGAACGGATATTCCGGTTTGAACGCCGGTCATCCTGTGGTTTATCTATACCGACTTGGCTCACTGTTCCAGGACCTGTTTTACTGAGGAGATTTGACCGTGCCTCAAAGTATGAGCCCGTCGTTGAGGAAGTCCAACTTATAAATTGCAATCCACATTACGCCCGTGTTCGTTTTCCCGGCGGGAAAGAAAGCACTGTATCCGTCCGCCATCTCGCTCCTTGTGGCGATCGCACACATATCAACGACTTCACGCGTACCTCATCCAATGAAGACAATGGTGTTCATGCACCCCCTCTATCTGACTTGCACACGCCTCCGCTCAATAACATTGGAGATGATATCGATCATACTTCAGTCTCACCCCCGTACCCAGGCAATGCACCTGCATCTCCCGATACATATGACCCTAGCATCTCTGAATTAGCCAGGCTCCAGCAGCGCACACGGCCCTACATTTTAAGAAATCGAGAAGCCTAACCACACTCATTATTACTCATTAGATTTTTACAATCATTCATCCAATACCTGTACCCAATTTATCCCTCTCTACACACAATCCAACGGCCAGGGTGAATGTCATGAATATTCTTTGTGCTCACATTATCGTTTTGTATCAACCATGCTTTCGCCTTCATTTTCAGGTTATGTACGTCTATTGTTAGACAAGTAAAGCGCTATTCATTCTACGCCATTCATTCTTGTTCTCGAGCTCAATCAGAATCGATATTCTATTAATAACACTCATAGACAAACGATGGGCAAACGATCGATTAAGTCGATTGAAGCCTACCGCTCCGTCCGCATCCTGGGCAAAGGGAGGCTCTTCCAGTCTGTTTGCAGTGCACCGGGTAGACACTACCTCTAGTCCATTCTATACGATGCATTAAGGTATATCGTCTTGTTCTTAACGGCAAAACTAAACGGATGGAAACTGTGAAATAACTGCTCAAATTCGCATCGAGGGATCGATGGGGGGCACGCCCCTGGCAAAGAGGATTCCAGAACACGTCAAGTGCATTGCAACAATGGGAAACGGCCTACATAACAGAAGAGATCTTGGGGAAGAAATCCACGGCTGGAGTATACAAATCGTGTATATATTCATTCCCCAAGTCATTTCACAAACTAGTCACTTGGAAACCCGAAATATCCTCGTCTGACACCAGCACTACAGCCGTACCGGCTTTTCCTGGAAAGTACGAAACCGCTTTGTCACAATAGTTGGGGCATTGGTCCAACCACCATGTTAAGCGATGTGTTCAAAGCGGTTCTAATCGGAAAAACCTACTGACAGATACACAAAAGCAGCTCAGCCAAAGAGGTTTTCGATCTGATGAGGATGCGTTGACCAGGTCATGACTCTGCGCCGTGTTAGAACATCACCTTAATAAACAAGACGTGGATATCAGATGCTTAATCGCTCCATTTCTGATTCCACTGATCATGCTGTGATGGGATTCCTCTGCAGCTCGCCAGCTTGAACAAATAAGAAAAATGAAAGGCACCACAAAACTAACTCGGCCGGGATTCCCGCTGCCCCAGGTCTCTTCTACCAGGCTATCAACTGGACATCAGAAGATTCAGCGTGTAGCGTACGGCATATAACAGTCTTCTACATAATACACAAACGGCGACGGGTGACAACTGGATGAAATTTAGAAGCAGTTTTGCTCTACCAAGCACGTCGCTTGATCGGGATAGAAACCAAGGAACTTGGGACAAAACTTCTAACCTTCTGCTTGTCCCATTATGGAATGACAGGTCCCCATATTCAGATATATCTTACCAATTGTTGTTACAGCATCCCAAAACTAGCTCTGCAAACCCATCAACAATGCAATGAACGTTTTCTCCGGAAACCGAACAGTGAGTTGGTGGATACGGTTCTCAAGCCAGACTCCTACAGCATAAGGCAATACCACCAATCAAAAATATGCTTGAAAGTCATGTCAGATGGAAATTCAGGTCCCCAGTTTCTTGGCCCATGTGTGGAGGTTGCCACTGACAGTCATGCGCGGCATCTGAGATTCGATTCACCCGCTGAGCCGGTATGTTCCTTCGTAGTAGCCGACCCTAATGGGTGCTTGAACATTGTGGATGACTGCATTTACGCCAACTAAGAGACTCCACGATTAATCATTCGCTGAGATGTTGTCTTCAGCTTCAGTACAAGGTTGTAAAATGACAGTGCCCAGTTACCGACTTTGCGCGCTCTACAGGAGCGTAGATTTAGTCGGAACGACTTCCTGGAAAGCTCTCCCTATTCTACCGCTCCTCGTTAGCCAGAATTTTGAGTTCTTTAGTCCGTTAAATCAACTATCGCCAAATGTTTTCTCGTCAAAGTCGTTGTGACCTATTCTGCCATAGTCATAAGCAATCACACGACTCAAAAAGTCATTCCCAACCTAAGGCTATTGTCTTGAAGAACAACTATCTAGTCACCAAGATCATGCCGTCAGACGTCTGCTTACCAAACCAGAAGTCCGCATTTCTATTCACGAACCGAAAGATCGTCATTTCTTTTGAGTATTGTATGAGCGGGGAGCAATTAATTTGGTTTGGGCTTGTACCAAATTATCTCTCGAACATAGATCATGTATCAAGCTCACCGCGCTCAAGCGAATGTCTCTTGGTTAGCGATGATGAAACTTTCCACCCCCAAATGACCTGTTCTCGTGGCCAGTTACAAGAAGAGGTAAGACACCACAGTCAGGTCACTTTGCTGAAGATTGTGGTCAGGAGACCGAATGACCCAGTGTGAAATCTGCACTCCAACGTCAAAATCCGCTCATTCCTCTTTATCCGCAGTTACGACGGAACGACTTCAAAAGCCCCCGTTTCTCTAAAATAGGCGAAAGTTGAAAAAGGTCCTAATGGAAATCAATAAATGGTTTCACAATCCTCCAAGTGACGGCGATGAAATCATCTAGTCGTTTAATTAAGTCTTACCAGGAAGCGTTTGACGAGTATCCGCGCAGTGGCAAATATGTTTCACACCTATCCTCCTGACCAACGGATGTTGTCGCAAATCCAGACTAGCACAGACGGTGCTTTCTCCGTGAAGAAAGAACGAGAAGCTAACGCTGTACTGCGTACTAAAAACGTTATTCTTGAAAATATCTCAAATTACTAGTCTTGTGTACAGTTGTGTTTATACGGCTGGATGAACCATTTGCCAAGCCGAACGAAACCCTTGCTCAATAAGCATCTGAAAGTGATGGTTAGGCGAACAGAACCTTTTACCTTTCCACAACATTATGGAGCGCACGAAAAAGAATCGTGCGTATCTCGTAAGAGAGGCCTTGACGCCAGTTTCCCTGGTCCTCCATGCGCAGCTCCGGAAGGATACATGTTGCAGCGTTCGGAAAGTCGCCGCTTCCATACCAGAACACCCAAAGTTGCTTATTGAATTCGGAGAAGGCGCCAGGATCATGCTTCTCGGTGTTCTCACGTTTAGAGCGGACCCATGTGGACAGAACATTGTTCTGTTGACATAGCACGTAGGACTTTATGATGGGATCATCCAAAGCGTTCGTATATTCTTTATCAAACTTGGCGACATATTTTTGGTACTGAATGCCACCAAAATCAGTCTACAATGTGTGCAGTGACGTCACGGTAACGATATATACACTCACCAAAGCAAAAATATTTGTGAAGCAATGCTCAAGAGAAGAGTCATTGGAACCACCAAACTGGCTGGTGCTCGACATATTACTGTCACTCCGGGCTGGAAACCATCACCGCCCTAAGCCCTGCGCCAAACATAATATTCCGCCATGCGAACAAAAATTGCATTTCCTTAGAAAATTGATTGATTCAAACACCAACCGTCCCTTCAACTTCACAGGCTTACTGCGTCCTATGCGCTGCAGCCCATAGGTTTTGTTGAAACCCGTGTTATGCAGGAAGTAAAATGTGGTGTCACTCACATGGCCCCTCTGCTGTTCGGCGAGTGATCACTGATATATACACCAGTGGGTTTTACACGTTAATCCACGTTCCGATACGTTGTTGTCACTCCGTGGGTTGGGCTTGAAATGAGGCTGGACTAGAGATTGCCACGACCAGGAGGGGACGATTCTATGGTTCACAGAATCATGTGATAATCCATGAATCCGTGACAAGGATTCCTATATCCTGATTGTCTTGTCTCAGGAAATGGAGTGACGTCCGTCGGTGAGACGGAGTACTCAGAGTTTTGAAAGGGTGGGAACATCATCTATGGAAATGGTCACGTCGCTTAGAGACGGGCGCTTCACTTGGCGGTTAGGACATGTAAAGTAGACGCAGGTGATATGTGTTTTAAGTTGTAAATAAAGGACAAGTAGCAGCTATCGAAGTAAGCGTTTAGACGGTCTGGTTTACTGACAAGATCGGTGATATGGTAACCTGTGTTTGAGCGCAAACAAACAAGTGAACGACGGTTTGAGGCACGCCGCTCGCGGAAGTCGGTCTAGTAATTTGGAGTAATTAAAGACTTTGATGGTAGGCCTGGATCCTTGGACTCTGGGTCAGTCGATAGCTTAGTGGTGAGAACTATTAAGGAGATATCATGGGATTTCTGGTAATCTTCGTCAGACCGGTGTATTTTGGCATCCAATGTCTTTGGTGACGTATCATGAGGATAAACACTGTGGTAAGACTTTTATGGACAAAACACGGTGAAGAGCAGTCAACAGGTTTTCGTGGACGATGTCACAGATGCCTCGTGTTTCCAGAGAAAGAAGTTGCTTCGGTCCCGGGAAGCAAGTAAGTAAAAAGCATGAGAAATATCTTAAAAACGGGGGGTCTATCATGCAAGGACTTGAGGGAGCGGCCAAGCCATAACTGACTGCGTTGCAAGGAGCGGCGCAGTGGTCACCTTCTGTGGAGCGTGGACCAGTTGTAGCTGTAGCCAAATGCCCATCGTTTGGGAATATTAGGTCGAGATTATGTGAGCGACGGGTGGTGCGACTGGGTGCAACTTGGGACCAACCCTCTAGATTGAGTTGGGCAAGTGGCGAGGCGTAACAAGGAGGGCCGTTATCGAACGAACAGGAAATATCCTGTAGGCTGAAGTCACCAACACAAATTTAGACGAATGAAATAGGCAAGTGCAGAGGAGATCTGGACAAGTCAGCCATAGAGGCGGATGAGAGGGTTCGTGGTAAATTGATACAACCCACCATTATAACGAAAGACCTTCGCTGCGAAGACGTCTAGTAGGAAACACTAATCAGTAACAAACTACAGGACAGGGAAGTGGTCTCATATAAACATAACTTCTAAAAACTGAACAGTCCAAAGCATCTTCTTGGGTATCCTTCGGCTATCACACTAGTGTAAAGAAACTTTGCAAAGAAGTTCCACCATTACCGTAATAAACCTCACTTTCTGTTCGACGCGAGGCAGGGTTTCGAGGGCGCCACAGATCCTCCCCATGATTCGTCCGTAGCATCCACCGTAATACCATTAAAGGTCGTTTGGTCTGTTCTGTAGAGATCCAGATGGCCTCGAGAATCGCTTCCGCAGGAAGTTCTGAGAATTCTTTATGTGAGAGCGGTGAATATTTTTGCCAGAGGCTGAAAAAGCGTGTCTGGAATTTCATCTTGAACCACGTTTTGCTCACGCAAATCAGACTTAGTCGTGCAACAGCGCTAATGGTTCGGTGATTATGAAATTTTGGCGGTAACGCGCTGGCACTAAACATCATTGTTGGCAAGCTTATTGGGAGTACACAGTAATAACTGGAAGGTGATTAGCCTTACTCACAACGGAGTTTGATACTGGGGGAACTTGGAAAGTGGAAGTGGGGTAAAATGAGGTTAGGTTCAGTAAGCGTGCTCGGAGTCCGAGAAGGAGTATTTAGCTCTGGTGGTCAGTGGATAAATAGTTGGTGAAATAGGTCTGTATCCAAAGCACAAGATGCAGTATCAGCCTCAATATGGGTTGGGGAACATCTTTTAGAGGAGAGCGTGTAGTGGAATAAAGAATTGTCGACTTCTGCATCCCCCGGAGGTTTTCACGGATTCACGGATTGATAATAGTCGGTTAGCGTGGTGGGGTGAGTATTAGCTAAAATGATGGTACGGTGGGACAAAGATTGGTGGGCAGGGCGGTGGAAGCGGATCAGGGCCAAAGGCTGTCCCAAGCACGCGGTGCACACGGTTTGACGAACTTCCTGAGGTTCGTACACTTACCGCTGCAGGTGGCTTGGAAGGATGCGGGGGCGATGGTGGTGTAGATGACTACCAAATAGGGGTCTCATGCAAATGGTAAGCGGGTGGCCAAGGGGCGGGGTTTGACGGGGACCAAGATTAGATAACGGTGCTTGCGGGTTGAGGACCCCCCAAGTGCCAGACATGCAATGTGTGTGGCCACGTGTGTATTTATGTACAATTCGGGGCAAAGTCGGGTTTGCAGACGATGCGCAGAGTGTGAATTTGGAATGCTTGGTAGGAAGAAGCGTTATGTCACAAAATCAAGATGCCTCAAGCAATATACTATGCCTTCAAGTTCAGTTTAAACGTTGGTTCGAGGCCCGTGAGATACCACATCTGTCATATCAGTAGCGAATTCTGTTAGTGCAGTAGACGTTATCGGTTGCATAAGTAGTCGTACAAAACTAGACGTAAAGAGCTGGTGGACGTGAGCGAAAGTTTCGGGGCTTGAGGCCTCCAAACAGGTTTTTGTGGCACCTGTATAAGGGTAGAGCGAGCTTAAACTAGAAACAATTTCAATATAATGAACAACGGAATGCTGGAGCATCAATATTTTGGGCATAAAACGTCAACTGCAACATTAGAGGGGACCGCTGGAAGTCCGAACGGTTAAGAACTGGCTATATTGTTATCCGGGGCAGCCGGGAGCCCGAAATCCTGAGTTGACTTTATGAGAGGCCGGAACAGTTGACGGGCTCAGTAAGCAATCATTTGCAACGAGCGATCCTCGGCTGCTATGCGCACGTGTCAACGTAGAAGTGGTTTGTGTAGTCTTTCAAGAAATAGGTCACATATGAAGTCCGCGATTGAGTCACACCGAGAGTTTTTGCTGGTGCAGATCACTTAAGGGAACAGAGACCCATCAGATAGTAATCAGTGGAAATTTTGAGAGTGAATTTTTTGTAGGCTTTCCTTGGAGTCGAATCCGAACAGCTTCGATCTATACGGTTTGCGATGATTGGGTACGGGACAGAAGTTCCTGGTATGTTAGCAGACGCACTCCATCGTTTGTCTATGAATCGCATTGGGCAACGCAAAAACGGTCGAAACTTTCGCAGTCATCGAGCTGTGCGCACTATCATCATGTTACTTGCTGTGAGGACAACGGTTTTTGTGCGCGCCATCAAGGGGCGATCGGAGAATGGCGTATCGTGATTGATTACACTTCATACAGTGACTGATCTCGGAGGCACGTGTGTCAATAAAGACTAACAATTTTGCAGGATCTGATGTATCGCACATTTTTTCAGGAGTTAGAAGGTAATAAGTCGGTTGTAGGCTTCGGCAGGATACTAAAATGCTCCCCAGTTTATGCACACGAGCTCTGGGACTAACCAAGTCAGTGTAAAGCTGAGATTCCACAGGCGAAATAGGGTCCAAAAATATTTTAACAAAACCAGGCCCTGAGATTCACTATTTCCCTTTAGGTGTGGGCACACTAGACTCTGGAATTAGTCAGTGTATGGAATGCCGTCAGCAGGTTCTGATGTGCAATTTCCCTGAACACACCCCCACCGGAGCGCACGGCAGCACGTAACACGCTCGATACAGCTCGCACAGCTAGACGGCTCAGGAGGCCGAAATAATCCCTGTGTTGCTGAATGCCAATGTAATTCAGTGATGGAAACTATGTGGTATATCTGCTGACATTCAAGGTTCTTCTTTCCTCTAACTGTACACTCCACACTGTGAAGATCATAGCTGTTCTTACTCTGCTGCAAAGGCAACTCACGAAAAATTTACACTACAAGTCTATAAAGTTGACCGCTGAAAACTATCAGGTGGATCATTTTTCCCATCAACAATCTGTACTAGTCAGTACTCTCGGTGTGACTCAATCGCATGGTTCCGATGAGACAAATTCCATGAACCTCTATGCAAACCGGATCATCGTTAACGCATAGCGGCCGAAAACCGCAACTTCACGCAAAAGCATTCTGAGTCTGTGTGATAATTAAGTTTCGTACGTATCCATCCGCCATGAATGAGCGTGCGGGTGTTTATAGTCCAGTGGTGGTCTTGACCGCAATCTTTCGGATCTTCTCGGAATGGAAACTTCAGTTCAGACACAGGTAGTACGTTCTTCAGATACAGCATTTTGTTCGGATACCACAAGATCATCTACAAAGGACTCATTAGTATTTGAAACAGCAGGAGTGCCGTTAACAGACTGACCTCTGGTATTGAACTCAACCTGGTCAATGTGTCTCCGATGACAAGAGAGATCATCCAAATCGAGAATTGTGACCATTCGTTTGCCATTTGATGAAAGCACTATTCCTGTTGCGGGTCGTAAATCATTACCCTTGAAAAATGTGACATCAGCCGTTTTGGCACAGTCAAGACTCGTACGCAACGAACGAGATTTAAATAGAAGCGCGGGACTCTTCCCAGTAACGGAATGGACGGCGTTCCTGTATTGCATTAGAAAATTATCAATC